AGTATATAGGGGTATAGAGTTCAGAATGTCCCATCGCTGTGCAATATATATTAATAAATATCACTTGGAAAACTTAAAGTGCTAGTTCTCAGCTCTGATTTCAAGCTATATACTTCGTATGTTTTTTTTTGATTTCAGGAAAAGTAATTTCCAAGCTTGAGGAGATACTTTTGGCTTGTTGTCTGGGCTGGAAAGGGAGAGTTTTTATACTTACCATATAAGCAAATAATTTTTAACGAAAACCGCTTTCTTAAAATGTGCTTATAGCTGTATGTTTTTAAGATGGTTACTAATGGGTATTTTATTTTAAGTAGACTCTGCGCCGGGAACTAGGAAGCCACACAGTGTAAAGGAAAGTTGACAGTGATCAAGTAAATTTAGCCAGTGGTTATGTATAAATTTAGTTGCTCTGGTTTCCCTGTGTTCCTCTTAATGTTTTATGAAAACATGATGGTTAAATAGTATAATTCAATTTCCATTTTGGATTTATCTGTGAGTATTGGTGAGAGGAGACATGGAGAAACCAGAACTGGCCTCTGATTCCTTCTTCTCAGTGGCTGTGAGACGGCAGGAGGGTACGTCAGTTACCCAGTGCCACTATACTGCTGCATTAAAAATGAACACAGCACTTTGGAAAAACACATGACAATAAACACTTATTTTTTCCTAGGAGGAAACTGCTTGGCTGGTATACTGCTGGGCTGGGCTCAGCTAACCTGAACTGTATTTTTTTTTAAATTTTATTTACTCATTTTTATTATTGGGGGGGGTAATTAGGTTTATTTATTTATTTATGTTTAGCTGGAGTACTGGGGATTGAACCCAGGACCTCATGCATGCTAAGCATGCACTCTACTGCTGAGCTATTACCCTCCCCCCAAAAGTTTTATAAATTCTGATTTGCTGACATGGCACTTTGGCAGGAGCAGCTCCATCTTGGGCCTGGATGGTTTATTGCAACAGAAGTAAGACTGCCTATGTCAATATGACTTTACTGTTTTTTTTTTTTTTTCTGGAAAGATAAGGCTATAAACCAGATTACTTCATTGCTTTGTAGAGGAGGAAAATTAATTTTCCTTCTATCCTTCACAGTTCTTGGCTGAGAATCCCCTTGTAATAAAAGTCAGATTAACAAGAGAAAAAAAATTTTTTAATTATGTACACACATAGGGGAGCTCCACAAAGATATGAGACTTAAAACATAGGCAGGCGACAGAGGCTTCTAGAGCAAAGGAAAGGGACAGCAAGTAGCGGACTGAGGCTTCAAAGGGGGCAGGGCTATTCACGGAAAGGTGGAGGGAGCAAATGTTAGATAAATAAAGGTTATCCTGCTTTCCAGGTAAGTCAGGTAAAAAAGATTCTCTCTGGTAATAGCTCTTTTCCAGGTATAGACCCCCTTCTCACATAAATTTCCTTTATAAATGGAGATTTTCCTTACAGAGCGGGGTAACTGCTACTCTGTTTTCAGGGCTTCTCCAGTGTCTGCAGTTTCTTAAAAATGATCAGTGCAAAATAATCATTATACTAAAGAGGCATATTCTGGTAGGCATACATTCTGCTACTCTCCAGCTTACTTCAGGAACTTAAAGAAAATTCATTCAGAAAAATAAACTATTCCACCAGTTGCCTTCTTAGGACAAGAGATTGCTCATCTGGCCAGCGGCTTGATGATGAAATAATCGTTTACTCATCAAAAATCACTTCAATATCCTCACCTGTCTATGACCACCAATCTTAAACTATTTGTATCATGAAATTTTCCCAATCCCAAACAGATCCCTGCCTTGAAAGACCAGGATTAAACCAAGGAGCCCAGACTTTAACCCCCATAATTATCTGTCTCTGACCTCTTCCTTCAGAGTTCCTATTAAGACTTCACTGAGGTGATATACTAGCAGTATATTACTATAGTATAATATAATAATACAATAACAATAGTAGTATAATAATATCATAATGACTTAATGTTGCTTTGTTATCCAAGTGGTTACCTAGGTTTTTTGAGAGTTGGCAGTTGACATCCTTCAGGATCTGACATACTGCCTTATGAGCAGAGGCTGTTTAAATAAATGATAAATTATAAAAAGATATACCACTTGACATAGTGCATCACAGGTTACAAAGCACTTCAATACACCTCGTTTGATTTAATCATCAGAAGTGGGTGGATGTTGTTCTTACGTTTCTTTTAATCCTCAGTATTCTTTTATAGGTCAATAAACAAAAGCTCAGAGAGGGCAAATGATTTGGTAAAAACCAAACAGCACGCAATCAAGATGGGACTTGATGGATAGACATCATTAGCATAAATTTTTTTCAAGTTGTTTGTATTCAGTGCTCCCATATCACTCAGTCTCTCTTTTGTCTGAATATCCTTGTCCACTGTACCATTTCCAGGGGTCTTCAATGTACCTGGTCAAAATTTCCTCACACTGATCTTACTATTTCTGCTTCTTTGACTCTTTGAATCACCTCTTCTCTAGGAAGCGTTCCAAGTAGATCATGGTGCAAACTTCCATAGTTTGTAGTTAACCAGTTGACAATCTCTTTGCTTTTTCATATCCCTGTAGTTTACTTCTAATCTATTTGAGGTCCTTTTCTTCTAAAAGACAGTCTCTGTAACTAAACGACCCCTATAACTTCTTTGATAAAAGTAAATTTGGGCTTCCCAAGTCTCTCAAATGAAAAACAATCTCTACATGAACAGGGGTCACAGATCCGTAGACTGACCTTGTGATTCAGCTTCTCTTGAAGGTCACGATGACTCATTGTGCCACTGCCGTCATGACCTCAGGGGCCCCTGCTTCAGCTTTGTTGGATTATCCTCATTTTCCCTGTATTTTTCCTCAGCCGAGAAACAGGAAATGGTATGCTAGGTTGTGTTCTGCACAAGGGCGCCTGACAAAGTGAGCTAGTGTTGGTGGAAATACAACTCATGTTCCTGTGGCCAGCCCTTCCTGGCCTGCCTGCCCAGAGAGGAGTCCTTTTTCTAATTTGCAGAAAGGCAGCATATATATTACTGAGGCTCACCTGGCCTGCAGTGTTTGCGTTAGACTTAACTACACGGAAACACTAGAGAAAGGAGCATGCGACTGCACGGGCTAGTGCATAACAACATCTCCTACTTGCATTCTCCTCATGAATATCTTCCTCTTGATCTCTGGGGCAGGATTCCTGACAAAGACCACATGCCCATAAATCAACAATTTAAACTCTTCTAGAGTCCTCGGGCAAGGAAAGTGGGATTAATAAGGATGTTTTGGAAGGGCTCCATAAAAAATAGAGCGTTTTCGATACTGTACTGCCATACAGTAAGTACTCAGTGATGGCAGCTATTATTAGGATTCAGGAGCCTTTGACTTCACTTTTCCCCTTTCTCATGTCCAACTTCATATTCAAACTGATCAATGAAATGATTAGATTTTGAACACTGAACAGAATTTATGTCCTTAACCTTAATCTTGACCTTGAATCTTAACACAAAGAAAGAAACATATCTTTCTTATAAGAACATGATACATGAATAATGTTTATAAAATATTTATAGAAATATTTATGAAAGTACACTTTCACACATAATGTAGAGGTATATATTAAAAATACTTTCTAGATATATATATATTACTCAAATACCCCTATTTTCAGTATGATAGATTTTTATTTTAGAAATAAAAGCTCTTATCTGTATAATGCTGCTTTTTATAACTGCCAGTTGTAATCCACCAAGGGTCAGGGTGCCTGGTCATTTACCAGGACAGAAATCAGACTCGCTTAGAAAATATCCCTGTCCTCTTTGACTTAGAGAGGGCAAGCAATCCTCCCAGACATGTCTCCAGCCTAGGACTGATTTCTTTCTCCTGCTTGGAAGGGCTGATAGCATCTTGCGATTACATTTGCTTGTTAGTGCAGCCTTTTGTAAAGAACTAAAGTGTGCCACTGAGTGTCATTTAGACTCAGTCAAGCTGGATTTATATAAAGTAGAATGTGTTAGAAATAAGAATGGAGAGATATTTTTAGATCTTTTTAAATTTAAAAGCTTTATGCCACCATTAGCACGTTCATTAAAGTATCATTCAATTATGAGATGGGTTTTTATGCATATATAATGTATCAAATTAAGCAGAGAGAAAATAACTTTAAGACTTCTTATTTTAACTAGCTTTGCATTTCACAGATTTTGGAAAAGAAATTCTTAATTTTTCAATTAATCTTTTTATTAAGGACTCCCTGTAGGGCTGGCAATTCACTCAATACTTTGAGAAAGACAAATAGAGATTACTCTAAAGTAGTGAAGATATCCTATAGGGGTCATTATTTTCTTATTCTACATGGAAACAAGCCTGAACTCCCTCCTCTTCTTCATACCTCTTATCTACCATGCTGTAGATCAGGATCACAAACCCAAAAACCCAGGGAAACCAGACAGGTGAGTAAACAAAGGGACATGTGCCCAGTGTAAGGCAGTAGTGTGTGTGTGTGTGTGTGTGTGTGTGTGTGTGTGTGTGTAGCTATAAGCCAGAATCAGAACATAGCCCACCAGGGGCAGCTCTGACTTAGAGTGAAATGAAATTAGAAGGCAGAACTTTTAGAAACATTAACAGATAATAGACAGAAAGAAAAAGATGCATCAGGAGTTCTTTGGTTACAAATGACATAAAATGCAACTTACATTGGCTTTTTAAAGGGAGACATATTTATTATCTCACCTAAGTGAAAAATCCAGATGTAAGACTAGATTCAGGCAGGGCTGGATCTAGCAATTCCAACAATGTCAGCATTGTTTCTCTCTAGTCCTTCCCTCAGCCTCCCAAGGTGTGTCTGCCTTACCCTTCAGGGTTCACATGGAAACCTCAGTAAATTCAAGCTTGTCCATTAGAGTTGAAAAGTAGCTGCCTTGTTCCAAGCTTCACATCTTCACACCATACCTACTAAGAGAAGAAGGGTTCTTTAGCTCCTGCAGAAGAGAGAGTAAATTCCTCCTTCTAAAAAGGGCAAAAAAGTGTCCCTTGTATGTAACTATCTCCAGTGAGGCCCTTGGCCCTATTTTGGACCATAATGACCAGGAGATGCAATCACTATTCAACTTAAGCCATTGAGAGTTTCGAGGGCTTCTCTGGAGCAGACTTACCCAATAATACATAGCTGAGAATGGCAGAGTAGTTTCTCACTATTTTCTTTAGGGATTACTGCTGTAGAGAAAGGGAAAAAAACAGAATCATAAACAATAGTTATGCACCAGACCAGGGGAAGCTTTTAAAGAAACTGAAAGTAAAACACCAAATTAGTAGGAACAAACTAAGAAAAGATAGCACTAATAATTGTGAAATTGTCAATGTGGAAGGCATGAGGATCAAAGGCATTTGCTGTCGAGGGGAAGTATAAGAACAGAAAATACCTGCTCTAAAAGTATTAGAAGAGAACATGGGATACTTTTTATTTTTATAATTTTAAAGTGAAAACTAGGTAACATAGAAAATCAGAAGCCATAAAGGAGAAAAAAATTTTACATAAAACTACATGTCTACAGTAAAACAATTTTATTAACAATAAGGCAAGTAACTAACTGGTAACACAGTTATAACTCATATGACACACAAGGGAAAAAATATCCTTAATGCTGAAAGAACACTTACAAATCAAAAGGAAAGACAAACCCAATAGGAAACTGAGTGTAAGTTATTAAGAGGAAAAATGGCTTAAAATATGAAAAGATGCTTAACTTCAGTTATAATTAAAGAAATATAAATCAAAAGTGGACATTACTTTTCATATTATTAGATTAGCAAAAATTTTTTTAAATTGGTTTTATACAAAGCTGTAAGGAAATAGACCTTTTCACACATCTTTGATGGGTGCAGTCTTTTTAAAGGACAATTGCCAGTTTTGCTCAAAATTGTACTACCTTACTGCTGTGTAATTTAACTTCAAGAATCGTACCTGCCAATGTCTTTGTACCAGGAACATGCCTGGTGTTGAACTAGTTGGATTTATGACTTGTTACAGCAAAACAGAATGTGTACTACAGGAAGTGGTGAGATGCCTCAGTGAGAGGGTTCATTTCTAACTCCCTGTTACAAGATTTCATCTTTGATTGGATGCTTTGGGGGAGAATCCAAGAAGTGAGACTTTGCTCTGGATTGGGTGCTGTCAGAAAGTCAGGACCAGTCTATGATTGAGTATCTCAATCTTACCTAGAGGAAAGGTAGACTAGAATGAAGCAAAAGCTGTAATCAGTAAAGAAACAGTAACCAGTCTTATTAAGCAGAAGAGATACTGGTATTTTGTGGTGTTTGTGCAGTGACCTTGTTTTTGTCTGTGCTTAGAGAAAATTATGAAGTGGTCTTATTTAGACTAATTTTAGGATGGTTTCAGAGTGAACTTGTTTGATGTTGGTGTTCTGTGAGATTGTTTATGTCCAACACAAGAACAATATGGTCCAGCTGTGAGTGACTTGCTAGCTTCAAACAACACTGAAGCCTATCTGTCGGTGATGTCGGGCTGCCTTTTTCTTTCTTATATCTTAAAGATACACTTTGACTTATACAAAGAGATTTATGTACAGAGGTGTTCAATATAATGATATTTATAGCAAAACCTTCTAAATATTCACCAGCAGCAGAAAGGCTAAATCAATGATTATTATGTGTATAATGGGTTACTAATGAGGCTATGAAAAATGATACAAAGTTTTGCTGATAGGAAGAATTCTAAAATACTGTTATGTGATAAAAGCATAGTATAAAATAGCACTTGTGTCCAATTACATTGAAGATCATGAGTGTTGTTTGGTAAATACTGTTTCACCCCTCTTCCAGGATAGGAATATATTTCCTGACCATGTCATGTTTAGATGGGGCCATGATAATAGTTTTTGTAAATTAAGGATCAATAAGACATGAATCCCTCCCAAATTGCCCATTTAATTATTGATCCAAGGTCCTTGGGAACTCTCATCCTTTGTCTTGACTGCTGGCAGTGGTCCAGATCTTCATCTGGATTCTAGAATAAGAAAACCATAAAGCAGAGCCTCCAGTTGATCTGCAAGAGAGACAAAACATGAGAAAAAAAAGAAAAAGCTTTATTGTTTAAGCCACTGAGATTTGGGGATTGTTAGTAACCACAGCATCGTCTGGTCTATCCTGGCTAATACAGTCTTAGTACCAGGAATTAGTATTGTAATTGAAGCCTTAGTGGAAGAAGTTGAAAGACTAAATGTTAGGAGCAAATAGTTCCATTGACTGCATCTGGTGAAGTATCACAAGAAATACACAAGCTGAGAAGAGAATGAGCTGTTTCATAAGCAGGAATGAATTCAGCTGCTCTTCCAATTGGTAGTTTCTAGCCATCTTTGGTTTCAAAAAAAGTTCCCTTGATGTATGTTTTCTAATATTTGTTCTCTTCCACTGCTTTAGTTTTTGTCCTCAGGATCTCCTTTTTATGTGTGTGTTTGGTCTTCCTTTTCTGCCATTGATAACCATCAATGTCTCTCAAATACTTTTTAACATCTTACTTCTTTTCTTTATTTTTTATCTTTTGCTCTCTATTTCTCTTAAGGCGTTTATTGATTTTCTCTTGTGATCAAAATTGTACATAAGAAAGCCAAGCTATCCCAGTAAAAGTAGATTCAGTAGCAAGAAGAGGAAAGCCTGATCAGCACATATAATTAATCACATTCAAAGGGTGGCCACAGCTAATCAGCTTCACTGGTCATATACAATAATAAAGTAAAAGGAGGGTTCAACACTGTGTTCTAAAATGATAAATTAACCAAATGTACAAAAGAGTAAAGCTGACTTTGCAGACACAATCCCTCATCTCCTAGGAGCTGACAATTCTTGATGGTCCAACTAATTAAAATAAAATACTGCTAATAAATATATAAGATTTTAATAGTACTGACAAACCACACTAATATATCAACATGACAGCGCAATGGGTGAGATAAAACTTAGAAGAATTCCTTACTTCTTTGAAAGGTACCAAGTCTCAAAAAATTTAAACTTTATAAACAAAACACAAAAAAATGAAAAATGTCACCAGGTAATGGTTAGAATTTTACTATAAAAAAGGAATTTAGTACTGATTAGCAACCTGGAAATCACCTTAGATGGCCCAGCCAGGGCTATGTCCCAACCAAGAATTAAACTTTTCATAACTCATTTCAAAACCTGATTAGGCTAAAATGATACCATTTTCTTAAAGATCTGGAAAGATTATCAAAACCCCATGCAGAGATTTTTGTGGAAACCTAGGAAGATAAGATATGAAATAATAAAGACAAAAATAATATTATATATAGCATATATATAATAATGTAATATATAATAATATTTAAATTTATTCCTGGTTTAATATGAATGTGTTTATTAATTTTGTAATTATTGTAGTAATGCGTTGTCTATCTTTGAAAGTGTTTAAGACATTGAAAGTAACCCAAAATACAAAATGTTCGGAAGATTTTTTTTGATAAACAATATTTAAAAGTTTGGAGAAATTTACTTTGTTAAATTCATACATTTTGTTTCATTAATTTCTATAAGTAGTATTTATAGAAATTAAACTATTTACCATAATTGTAAGGTTAATAAACTACATACTAATAAAGCCAAATATCAGTGAATAGTGCTCTCCCACATAAAGGCCCATCACACAATAAAAGCTACTGATAAAATTCTAGTCAAAGGAAAGCAGAAATTTGAAAAATAAGCAAATGAATGAGCATGAAAATTTCAGGGAGCTTGACAGAAACAAAGTAGAATGCAATAGAATCATAGAGACACAGTGATCTGGACTGGGGTCGTGGAAGCCCTCACTGACACTGTGATGTTGGGGTGAGATCTAAATGACCAGAAAACACCAGTCCTATCAAGATATGGGGGCAGAAAGTTCTGGGCTAAAAACCAGCAAGAGTAAGTGTCCTAAAGCAAATGTCCTTTGCTGTATCCAAGATGTAGAAAGAAGGCCAGAACAGCTGGAAAATGATAGGTGAGTGTCAGAATAGTAGGAGAAAAGACCAGATCATGGAGGGTCTGTGAGCCACAGCAAGAGGTGGAGATTTATCCCCAGCACAATGACAAGTCATTGGAAGGTTGGACGCAAAACAGTCAGGAATCAATTAACTTGTTAGTCATTGTTCCTCTCTGGGAGTAGATTGTTGGGGAGCGAGAGGTGAGGGTGGGAGACTAGTTCTCTCTTTATCTGGATTCTAGTGCAAATATTTCCTTGTCCCATGAAGCCTTCTCTGCTCACCTGAATGGAGATAATTTCTCTCTTCTTTACATTGTGTGGCTACTGCCTTAGGATATTCATTATATTCAGTTTTGTATTTTAAGGAGCTTAGAATTTAAGATCCTACAAGGTAGTGACTATTCCATGTATATCTTTTGCGTTTGTAACAGAGCTTAATTTAGTGGCTAATACAAAATGAATAGTACATGAGAAGGAAGGAATTATTTATTTAGCTCAGTGGCAACACATAGAATCAGTTCAGCTCCAATCCACATAACTGTTGAAAGAATTAAAAAATAAATGACTGCTGGAATTCACATTAACAAAGTATGAAGAAGGTGGGGAAACTAGATGTCTCAACTTTTTATTCAGGACCAATTCAATGTCTGTTGTGAATAAAACAGAGAAAATAGAACTGTTTTAAAAAAAAGGGTTATATTAATCTAGGTGAGAAAAATAGTATTGAAAATGTTACTGTCAGTTTGACAAAGTCCTTTGAAAAAAATGAAGAAAGAAACCAGTAGCTTCTGTATTCTATGTTGTTGGTAGGAAAAGAAATTAAGAAAGCACTTCATAGACAATATTAAAGGGACAAAATATCATGTATCAGAAGAGAATGAGGTGTACAAGAGAAGGCCAGGACTTAGGAGATATATTGGGGTCAGCACAGAATGGTGAGCATGGGTGAGAAGGAAGAAGACTTCAAAGGTGTGTGACGTGAGGGATGTATTAATGATACTTCTGAATAGAAGCAGAGAAAATGCTTTAGGTCAATAAAACCAGTAGGGTATAAACTTGTTTACTTACCTGGGAAGAACTCTGTGAAGTTGGAAAAACAGTTTCCAGCCAAAAAAAGGAATAGTAGTTATCATCTACCCAAGCTTCGTATTTTGTAGATGAGGAAATGGAGCTGCAGGAAATGAAACAGCATGCTGAGTAATAGAAATGCTAAAATGTGAACCCAGTTTTTTTCTTTTTCTTTTATTATTATTTTTTAAATTGAAGTATATCAGTTTACAATGTTGTGTCAAGTTCCTTCTGTTATAGCACAGGGAACTATATTTAATGTCTTGTAGTAACCTGCATGAAAAAGAATATGAAAACGAATATATGTATGTATATGTATGACTGAACCCAGTTTTTCTAATTCCTGCTCCTTGCTCTTGCCAGTATACTCTGCAAATTGGATGATTACCATCTGTTTCCCCTTATTTTTGTCACAATACTTTCAGCTCTCTTGGGGAAATTCATTCTTGCCATTGTCTACCATCTTAGGGGACGGTTTGGTCAAGTTGTCCCCTAGCTAGGGCTTTAGTATATGACCCAACGCTAGACAGGTCAGGCTCACTCTCTGGGACTTTGGCTCCTGACACACTTATTCTAGGACAAGAAAACTGAGGAAGCTGAATCATTGTGGCAGCGGCAAGCTGACAAGCCTGTCCGTCCAATTCAGCTACTTGGATCCCTGGAGCCATCTCATTTTTGCTCCTAGTGGGCCTGGTTCTTTCACTTTTCCTTCTATTTTTTGAATTTCCCCCTGTTACTTACATGTATTTATTTTTTATTATGTTTTTTAAAGTTTTTGCTTAGTCTAGCAAAATCCATTTCTTTTGCTTACAACCAAAAAAACTCAAATTACTGCTCTTCTATGAAAACAAACATGGCAAGACATGAGAGGAGAAATTAAAGAAATAGGGGAAAGGGAAAGAAATGACAGAACTGAAGTTTTACAAATAAGACTGAAGCAGAATTTCAGATTAGGATGTACTTGTATTCATTCATGTACTGATTTAATACATTTTTTATTAAATATCTAACCTGTCTGGCAGGGATGAGATAACAAGTGGGCATCCAAGTGAATGGAAGTAAAGAGATCCCACAACACATGTCAGGGACTCAGCAGGTGAGCTGGACAGCCTGATGCAAAGATAGGGGGACCGAAAGCAAGGGCTAATTGATTTGGGAAAGGAGCCATCAGAACAGGATCTACAGGACAACTGAGCTGCTCTGACCCCCAGAGCCACCGTATTCTTACTCCTGAGCCTGATTCTTTCACTCTTCCTTTGATCCTGGAAATTCTGAAATTGGTCTCTGCATCTGAGATCACAGGTAGCTGAGTCCATAGAGGGTGCTAGGAACAGAAGGCAGAGAGATTCCTGTACTGTCTTTCCATCTCTCACCTGGGCCTTGGAGCTCTATTAAAATGTCACTGGAGAAAAATGGTCCAAGAGATGTGACTGGAATTCTTGCCTGATTTTGCATTTTTTACCCCTGAGCCAGATAGTTCATCTTACGGGGCCTTAATTTCCTCTGCTATACAACGAAGAAACAACACCCGCTCTGTTAACCTTCTGGGTTGTGAGAAACACATGAGAAAATGGATGCAATAGCTTAGTAAATTAGGAAAAAAGACCAAGAGAAAAATGTTACTTTCCCTTTGGCATCATTTCCACCCTTTGTTATGAACAGTCATTTCTCAGCCATGGCAGAAAGAAGTTTAAAAAAAAAAAAAACAGCTAAAGAAAAGGTGATTAAGACTGTTAAGGCCAGCCTTCAGGTTAGTAGCTCCTAGAAATAAGGACAGAACAGAGGTTCTGGGAAGAGATTTGACAAAAATTAAACTGCAAGAAATGTGTATTACGACTGAGAAATTACCAGAGTATTTCTTCAGAAAATATGTCTATTTCCATTAGAAATGATCAGTTTGAGGATGAGAACATATCTCTTATTTCTGAATCCCATGCATCTAGCATAGGTTTATCACAAATGAATATTCATTGAATAACTGAATGAACCAAAGTTACTCTTGCCTTGGCCCAAATGCATGAACTTGCCCAGTGTGATACTCATAACTCCTAAAATAGCGGCATTGACATGCTGTTCAGAATGGCAAACTAATTACGAAAGTTTGCCTACTGTCCCTCTGGAGTCTTGTAATTTTACATCGCTGAAGTAAAATTACAGAAAAATAGAACAAGAAAACAAGAATGGAAATAAACTCATAGTAATAAATGT